TGCGGGTGCAGGGCCCAATCACTTGGGCCATCTTCTGCTGCTTTCCCAGGTGCATTAGCAGGGAGCTGGATCAGAAGTGGAGCAGCCGGGACTCAAACTGGCGCCCATATGGGAAGCTGATGCTACAGGGGGCGCTTAACCTGCTATGCCACAGTGTGGGCCCCTCTGTGGGGGTTTTAAAATCAGTGCCAACCCATGGGGAATGTTGAGCTGAGTTTCCTTGGAGCTGGACTGAAGAGTTCCAAGAGCGAGAACTTGCGGACACACGCTTGACCATCAAAGAGCATTTGCACCCATTATCACACTGCTCCCCACTACTGGGCAAGCAAACCGAGGCTCCTGGGCTCCGGGCACTGCTGCAGCCACACGGAGGGTAAGTGCCATCGAGGTGCCGCCAGCCCCAGAGCTGTCACTCTTCTCCCTGCCCCAGCAGCGTGGAAGTCGTGCCGCCAGCCTGGGGGATCCCAGCTCTTGAGAGCTCTTTTGTGGGTTTCCAGTTTTGGCTGGAGCGAAGGCTTCCCTTAATTGCCCAGAACTCAGCACGGCTTCATCAGCTGAGCTGGGGAAGCGCAGGATGCTGCCTCCATACCCCTGATGGCACCGGGGAGATGTAGACTCAGAGAGATGGATGCCATGGTCAAGGTCACGGTTGTGTGGACAGAGCATCAAACGCATAGAAAGTTCTGAAAATCCTGGAGAGTCGGCCATGGCCCCAGAGAAACTGGAGGCAGGTGGGGGACTTGCGTGAGTGCCAGCACTTTGCACCCAGCTCTCTGCATCCCTCTGACAGCTCAGCTGCCATTGTCACCATCATACGGACAGTCCTGCGAGGTTAAGGTCCCGAAGCAGGCAAGCAGTGGACTTTGTCCGAGGTGGTTCTGATCTCAAATCCCGTGACTTCCCCACTCACCCATGCTGGCCGAGCTACGAGGCATGAGTCCAGGTTAAAATGAGGCAAAAGCGAGCTGGCACCTGCTGGCGTGTGGGAGGAGCCCCCACGCACCTGTGTAGGCTTGCAGCTGGCGGGAGAGGCAGGGCAGGCCCCTCGCTGACCCGCAGGGCCTAGAGCAGTGGCTGGCACAGAGATGAGGTCAGGGGTCGGGGAGAGACCTCCAAGCCAGGCACCAGGTAAACCCCAAACCAAGAGCCAGCTCGAGCCTGGCCCTGGCACCACGTCCTCATGGCTCGCTGCCGTTGGCGCTCGTCGGAGGGGCGCCTCATTTCCGTTCTCCCTCCCACTTCCCTCCCATCTGCCGCTCTGCTTGCCTGTGCCCCCCACCAGAGACGCAGGCGTGTAGTTACCCAGCTCCCACGCATTTTCTGGTTCGCTTTCTCTTCGGGCTTCGTTTCCCCGAGAGGCTCTGCCTTGAGCTGGCTTTAAAGCCTGCGATTACAACGAGGCACCTAATGAGACCGGGAGCACCGTTCTGCAGCGCGCAGCTCTGCTGTGGTAAATGGCACACACCGGGGAAAACGCCAGAGGGTCTCCCGGGCTTCGGAAGCCTGCGCCAGCCACACTTGCCTGGTGCTTGGCGTTGCTGGGTGCAATGACCGTCCTGCCACGTTTGACCGGGTCTCCTCCGGCTGGGCCCCCTCCCCCTGGCCAGTCCCTGGCCGTGGGTCACAGAGGGTGCCCTGGACGTGTCGCCGAGTGTGGCAGCAGGGCTCTGCCCTCAGCCCCCTGCTGGCATTGTGAGAGCCCTTCTTTTTCCTCCCCAGCACATTATGGGCCAGTGATGTGCACCGGGAAAACCGCAGACGCCATGTGCCACGTGACTGCTTTCACCTGGAATCCAGCATTCTCTCTCTCTCCGTGACTCCCGGAGTCTGCAGGAACTCAGTGACAGGAGGCTCTGCCAGGAAAGCCTCATTCACACCGTGTAGCTAGTCATAGAAGTGCAGTTAAAGAAGCATTTATGCAGTGCCTGCTGTGTACCTAGCACTGTGGTGGGCATTAGAATATGGGAAGGGGTGAGGGTGGGGAAGAGACAAGAAGAAGCAATGTATAAATAGGTCCATCGCCCAGGTGTGGGCATGCAGTGTGCAGAGTTCAAAATGACATCCGATATCCAATATCCGTGGTGCAAACAGATTGGGGGTCAGGGCCCTGTGTTTCCAGGGCAGATGGCAACCCCTCAGACCACACCCAGTGCTTACTGACCACCCCCCGGGCTGAGCCCTTTTGTAATCTGAAGCAGCCCCCCCCCCCAGAGTACACTCTAGCCCAGTGACTGTCCCTTCCTTCTGGGGAGGCAAAAGGGGAAGGCAAGGCCAGGTGCGGAGGAGGTTGGGGTGGCAAAGTCAGCGCATGAGTCAATGCAGGTGTCCGTGCTCAGAGCTCACGTGTGGGTTGTCGCTGAGACATGAGGTCCAGCTTAGTGCTCGGGGGCACAGTGGGGAGGTCCGGGCACGGGTTTATGGATTTAGTCACTCTCCACTCTCGTCTGTGGGGACCCGGGGCCGGCAGCCCCTTCCCCAACTGAGCAGACAAGGTGTCTTCAACGAGTTCGCGAGAAACGTGCACCACGAGTCTCCGAGTGCGCTCCTGTGTGCAGCCTGCTCCTGGACTCCATTCTTCCCACTGACCTCTGTCTCCCCCTCGGGCCACAGCTGTCTTTATGAAGATGGGCGACCTAGGGATGAGGGAATGGAGTCTTGCGTGGGGCGAAACCAGAGGTTGGAGCCAGGACGGGAGCTGGCCCTTGTAAACATCGTCTTCAGTTCTTGCTGGAAGCCAGCCAGGAGACTGCAGTAATAGTGGCGTGGGTATCGAGGCTGGGACAACACCGCCTGGGAGCCACCAGCCTGCCTTGCAGTGAGCGGCCAGCAGGAGTCAGGAGAGGGAGCCGGCTCCTCACACGGCAGCCGCGTGACCCTGCCCAGGGCGCTCCATTCCCCTTCAGCTAACCCGAGGACAGGAATCGCAGCGACTTCGGACTTCGCAAGAGCCCTGGGGGGCAGAGGAGCTGGTGGAGTCTTTAGTGCAGCATCTGGGACACAGCAGGTGCCCAGGGACTGCCGCCGGCCTCCACCTTGGTACAAAGTCTTCTTTCCGGGAGCTGACCCTGGAGACACCCTCGGTGGTGCAGGGCCCCAGAGCATCCCATTCCCGCTGTTTCCCACTTCCTGAAACCCTGGAGGCCGGGCTGTGACTACCAGGAGGCTCACTTGCAACTCTCCTGAGGACGCCCCAGCCCTGGCGAGGCAGCCAGGGTGCTCAGCTCAGCTCTGCAGGGCAAGCAGGGGCCCAGCTGCCGGGGGCAGTGGACTGGATCCCACCCAAGAGGAAGTCTGGGGGCCCAAGGCCAGCCGTCTGCAGCAGTGCCTCAGTCACCATGGCCACCCTCGAAGTCTCTTCAGGACCAGTGAGACTGGGACCAGCAGTGGGCACTGGGGTGGGCAAGCATGCCACCCAGTCACAGTGGGTCTGGATGGGGCTTGCCAAAATAGCTGGCCCCAGGGCTGGACCTGTGACTGCTGTGCCATGTGGCTGAACTGTGTATTATAGACACCCCACTGAGCCCCGGGCAGCCCCATGATACCGCCGATGCTTGCATTTCCGCTGTCTGAAGGCTGGCAGGAGCGTCAGCCCACAGCTCTGAGCACCGGCCACGCTGCCAGCCAGGTGTCACTGTCACGCCCGGAGGAGGAAGCCGAGGCCCAGACAGGTGAACTCCCTTGATCTGGGTCGTATGGCAAGTGAGTGGCAAAGCTGCGGTCTGATCACACGTGCTCTGGCTCTTAGCCACGCCTCGCATTAAGACGTTCGTTTTGTGAGTGCATGCTTTGGTTCAGCCGCGGCTGAGCACAGAGGCCCACAGACCCCGGAGTGGCCGTGCCGTGGACTGAATGTTTGCAGATGTGCAGCGCCACGCTCGGAGCTGCGTGTGTGCAGCCTGCTTGATCCTCCCAGGCCGTCCAGGAAGAAGGCGCCCCACACCCATCTGGGGAGGGCGAGACAGCGCCACAGGCTCAGCTGGAAAGCCGCAAGTCTGGCATTTGAACCTGAAAAGAGCCGTGACTTTTGAAGAGTGAAGGAAGGAAATTGCCCGACTTGTGCCAGGACACTTGAGGGTGGGAAGTCACTTCCTTTTGTGCCTTGGTTTCCCTGACATAACAGGGGCCTTGGCTGAGTCACCTGTGGAGTCGGCCGCGGCCGGGTTCCAGTGTTGACGCTCCTCCGCCCAGCGCTGTGTGTCTGGGCGAGTCATCAGCTGTCTTTAACCCCGGCCCCTGCAGGTGCGGACTGAGGAAGCCCCTCCTCTGGAGCTGCTCAGGGACACACGGAGACCCCCACAGGGACCACGTACACGAAAAGCAACCAACAAACATGCGGCTGCTTCCTGCCACGCCCTCCTACTGTGCTGCTGAGATCCCAGTGGCCCATCAGGCATCTCACATGGCCTAAGAAACCTGACCCAAGTGGCCGCAGGTGCGTGGGTCTGTGGCCCCCGGACACATGTCAGCGCTGGGAGGTGGAGCCTCACAGGCAGATCTAGGAATGAGTTCATGCCAGCTGCATACGGGCCCGAGTCTGTCTCCTCCCCGCTCTCTGGCCCCACCATTGCTGTGACTCAGGGAGAAGGCCCTCACCAGAGGCAGCCGAGACCTCGGGGCCCAGCCTGCAGCATCGGAAGCAGAAGTCGCCTGGCCACAGGCATTCTGCTGTAGCACTCTGGAGAGAGGCACGTGTCCCTGGAGGGGCATGGGGACTCAGCTCCCCAGGGAATGTGTGTTTGGGACAGCGTGGCTGCTGTGGGCTTGGCAAGTCAAGAGATGATCCCACTTGTGCCACTCAGAAGGCTGGGTGTGGCGAGGAGCAGCATGGGGGGGGGGCGGATGTGGGAGAGAAACGGGAACAGGATCGGGAGACAGGAGAGAGAAGAAATAGACACCTGGTTGCCTTCACAAAATTATTGCCCACAAAATGTGGGGAAAACCCACATCTCTGCAGAACTTGTATAGAAAAATATATTCACACCAGGTTATCCAAGAGTGGATTCGATTTTAGAACAGGAGGCTTTATTGGACAGAATCACAATGTATACTTTCTCCCTGTATTAATCATCAATTCTACCATAAAAATATAGTACAACATTTGACTCACAAAACACAAGCCATTGTAAACAGAGCAGGTGGCAGCGGCCTTAGGTTCAAAGGCTGGAGTCTCAACAGAAGACAGCTGCCGGCAGACGTGTTCGGTGACAGGTAACGTTGCCACGCCGAGGGGCGCTCCGGTGACATCGGTGAGAACGAGCAGAGCCATCCTTCCACGTGATCAGGGCGGAGAACGTGAAGCTGCACCAACAGCAAACGTAAGAGGATGCTAAACTTGGACGCGATTCGTTTGCTGCTCGGTGCGCAGCCATGTGCGTGAGTGAACATTCATCCGTGGGCAGACACCCGTGGAGCGGCGTCTCGCCAACACAAACGCACAGGTGTCCAGCGCCTCCCTCTGAGTCTGACGTTAAAGCAGCGAACGCTGTGCAGAACCCAGCTGTTCGCCGGGCGCTTTGTGTCGTTGAGCTGAAATATCTCTTCTTTCTCCAAACGCATTCTTGTCGTGTGCAGATACTGTGTTTCCTCGTGGAAGGCTAGCCGAGCTGACACACACCTTGGGCCTCCTTAAGGCAGATACCCTACTGCTGTGTAATCAATGGGCACTCTCTGGGCGCCCCAAGCTACAGATGGTGTGAGTCCCCCCCCAGCCACACTTGGCACGCGCGCACATACACACACACAAGACAGTGACACCTGTGGACACCCGGGGATGCAGAGAAGTGGACTTTGGTGTCCTGTGACTCCAAGCCCCCAGGCGTAGCAAGGGTGGCAGGGGGCCTCCTCCACTGGATGAGGAAACAGGCGTGGGCGGGTGTGGTTGACCTTGCCTGGCCACATTTAAATGCCTTCTCCCAGAGGAGTCTGAGAGAATAGAGACCGGCCTTTCCCCACTCCCGCAAAATGGCCCTAGTGGTCACGAGGGGAGGCAAGGCACCTCTCTGATCTGTCACTGGACTTCCAAGGCTGTGAACTGGAGCCAGCCTGGTGTCCAGTGGGGCAGTCCAGAAGGGGCTTGGCTGGACACCAGGCTCCACCAGCATCCCCAACACTCCAGAAGCAGCTGTCTTAAGCTGTTAGCTGCAGAACATGGTTGCTGAGGTTTGACAACTTCAGTTTGGGATGGAATGTGGTGTTCCAAGGTTTTTGAGCAGGGGGTTTAGTGACTGTTAATAATTAGAGCAGAAATGTGGTCAGAAATGAGTCGAATGCGAGGCAATGGCGAGTGGAGCCCGTGGAGGTGGGCAACGGGCGTCTCAGCAGGTGTGGGCAGTCCCTCTGGCTGAGTCCTGCCTCCCAATCAGCAGAGAGCAGGCGGGTGGTGACACCCAGAGCTCCGCCCACCCCAGGGACAACTGACGCCTGGGCTTTGAAGAGGATTTGCTGATGACCAGGATTCAAAGTGACCTTCCTGCCCGCAGGTGCAGAGTCCACTCCAACAGAGTGGCTGTTGGAGGCCACCACGTGATGGATCTGGGTTCTGTCGATGATGTGCTGTGACTTTTCCATACCGAAGTGTGAGTGTGACACTGAGCGCACCCTGGGCACACGTGAGAGAGGACACAGGAAATGCACGCGTCGTGTTCCTAAGAGCGCACGCATGCCCAAAGGGGCACCCACAGTCTTCTGTGTCAGAAGTTAAAGTTCTCTTTAAAGTCCTTGAATCTGGGTAGATGTGACGAGCCAAGTACTGCTAGGACAGAGCTGTGACCCTGTGCTCTGAATGCCAGATCCGTATTTCAGGACACACGCAGGAGGGAGGTGCCCCACGCCCGCCAGGGGTGTGGGTGTCACATCTCCAAGCAGCGCGAGCATGGTGTTGCCGCCATGTGAGTTCTCCCACTTGTTCCCAGGGAGAGGTGGCAATGGCCTCTAGGACGCTGCACTGACAGTCACGTCAAGGTGCCCCTTGTCCCCACCCAGGGTGTTGTTGGAAGATGTCCCTTGGCCAAACGTGGTTGGTGTCTTGAGAATGAACTAAGTTCCTAAGCGCGGAAGCGAATGCTCCTCAGAGTAAACACGATTCACCTCGCCCTCCTTCCCTCCCCTCTTCCCTTCCTTGCTTCTGGTGGCTAAAGATAGGTGGATCCTCCCCACGTCCCACGCCAAGGCCTCCACCCCTCCCGCTGGCCACGGCTGTGGTCACTTTCACCATCTCTTGGGAGGCGTTTCCCTTCTGGGCGCTCCCAGGCACTATCCTGGACACTTGCGAAGCTGTCACTCACCAGGCAGGTGCACACCTCCTGTGTGTCTCGCCACGTGCTCATCTGCACTGTCCGTTCTGGTCCAAATGTCACTGCCTCTGTGAGGCCTTCCAGAACCCTCCTTCTCCACCAGTCGAGTTCCCCAGTCCTGCCCAGCACCCGACAGAACTGAGAACACCCTGGGGCAGCCCAGCTCACCCACTGTACAACAGTCACTCGTCCTGTCCCCAGCCCAGCTCAGCCCAGCCCAGTACCTGGCGTACAGAAGGTTCCCCATCAATGTCTGAGGAGCAACAGGTGAGTGCTGTCACCTTTCTGATTGATTTTGATTGCCACCTGACACTCCCCAAGACCCCCTGGCAAATGACTCCCTGTGGTGAGGTCTGGGTCAGGCTGAGTACAGCCACCAGGGGCCCAAGTCCATGGGGAGTTGGACAGTTCCCTTCCCTGGAACCTGCAACTCCTCTCCTCTAGGCAGCTGACCCCCAAAAATGCCTGGCCCTAACCCTTTGTCCAGTGCTGGTGGAAGGAGAAGGCCTTTGACACCCCCGCCCCAAGCCTGAGGTCCTGCCACCCTCCTTTGGCTAAGTCAGGACTTCAGCCACCAGCTGGCCTGGGTCAGACGACATCGCCGGGGGTCTAAAGGCTACTTGGACGTGTAGGAAGCGGGAGCAGTGGGTAAGGCAGGGGAGCTGCGAGAGTAAAGGGGAGGCCATGCACCCCTTCGCCTCTCCCGCATCCGGCTCAGCCGGGTCCTGGAGCCAACGCGGCGGCCCTCTGTGTGGGCGCTCCTGGCTGCAAAGCGGGAGGAGGCTCATATCGGGGCCAGGGAAATGCTGCTTCCCATGGGAGCTCGTGGAAGCGACTGGTCCAGAGCTGCCAGAAAGCCCAGGGTGGCCATGAGCCCTCAGCACCGAAGGGGCTCAGCTGGGTAGAGCCCTGTGGGTCAGAAGGCCGTGAACCTGATTCTGGGCACAGAGAGCGCCCCGAAGCCCCTCCCCCAGAATTGCCTTAGAAGCCCACACGGAGCAGAAGCCAAGAGGATCCCTTCCCAAGCAAAAGGTGACCACGGGCAGTGGGGCTCCCAGGGCCCCACTCTCCGAGGTGGGCGTCAGTACAGGATCTGAGCACCAGAACGACGTCCTCCAAGCCTAGAACCGCCCTCGACAGGTGAAGCTGGGGACGCTTCCCGGCATTCCCGGCCTGCCCGTCTGCAGACCAGACACTGTCCTGCCTCAGGTCTCCCTCAAGTGTCTGCCTTCAGGCCTCCAGAGCCCACAGAGCGGTACAAGGGGGCTGAGCACAGCGCCTGCATCATCGCGTTGTTGTGGAGACTGATGGAAACACGCCCCAAACATGCAGCACAGAGCCCAGCGCCTGCTCTGCGGCTGGGGGACCACCGTCACCATCACCCACCTCCGGGGGACCTGGAGGGGAAGCCACGCCGGATGAAGCTGCGAACCAACTTGTGGCCCACACCCAGGGAATGGCATCCAGAGCTGCCTCTCCCGGACCCTGCGCCAGCACGGCTCAGCGCCTGGCTCTGAGGCTCGGGAAAGGGGGTGGGGGGAGCTGATGGGCGAGGCCCTGGTTAGCGCCAGTGGCGGCAGATGCCACCGCCTCTGGCAGCCAGGTGAGACTGAAGCAGGTGCCCCAAGGGTCCCCTCTGAGTGCCAGAGCTACTTTTCTCTACCGAGGTGTCACGGCTCTGCTGGCCTCTGCCCGCGTCTCCCTCAACACCTGCGCTTACAGCCTCAAGAACCCAGAGAGGAACGAAGCTGCTTTGTGAAGGTCTTCGCAGGGAGGGTGGGCAGCTCCTGCTGTCGGGCCAGGGCCTGCTCAAAATGTCATGGAGAGATCAATTTTTGTCTCTCTCAGAACAAAATGACCCAGCCACTGGGGGTGGGGGAAGGCTGGAAGCTGAACTCTTTGGAGAATTAGGGAAAGATGCAAGAATGTTGAAACTCAGGTGTCTGAAAATCCCCAGGTCCCCACCAGGTTCAGACTCAGGAGCCCTTGGGAGCCCCTTGAAGACCATGCACGTTTGTGACTGGGCACAGATGGCTGGAAAGACAGAACCCCGGGTCCTGGCTTCTGAGGAAGGGATACCGAAATCTGCATTATCAGCTGTCTCCCACGGTGACGCCTGTGTCAACTTGAAGAGCCAACAGCTCCATGCTGATGGCTAGAATCTTCTGGAAAGTAGTGGGAGCCCCAGAGCTAGCTGGATCTCTTCTTCCCTGCGCTGCTCACCGTTCAAAGGACACAAACTGGCCGGGGAGAATTTTGGCTCCTGATAAAATACCCTCATGCAAATCAGGCAAATTAGTTTATCCTGCGTGTGAGTCTTATTCTAACAAGGCTCAGCCTTTGGTTCCTCCGAGGACTCACAACCCAGCCAGGAGGGGGTGCTGTCTACCCGCAGGCAGGCAGGTACAAGGGCGTCAACCAGGACAGGACCTTGGCTGCATTCTTTCCACCTTAGAAAGGAAGGCACCATGAGAAAGAAAATTAATGTCACAGACAGGAGGTGAGGGGTTTATTGCTCACGGTGACGGGGAGCTGAGCTTGGTCGCAGAGTGACACGCGGTCAGTGAGATGGGACTCCAGGGGCCGCCCACCCCGTCTGACGTCTAAGTACAGACAGGTGGGCTCTCTGTGGGAGGACAGACCCCCATGAGCCACCTGCCCCAAGCTCGCTGCGTGGACTGCCCCCTTGGAGCCCCAGGGGCCTGAGGTCCCTTCCATCCAGAGGAGGCCTACGGAAAAGCTAGAATGGTCACAGAGTGGCTAAGCAGGGCAGATTCTGATGATGCCGGGGTAGGAACGGAGCCCTCGTGTGGCTCCAGGAATCCAAAAAGCCTTTCCTCCCAAGGCTTTGCTTCCAAGCTTCATCATTAAAATGCTTACAATTCTCATCAGCGCTGGAGCCTTGAACTTCAAGCCTCACGCTAGCTTCAAGTCAAGCAGGTGCCTCATGCCCTTGACCTAAGCGCTAAGAATCTCGGCGCCTGAACGTGTTGTACCTGAGAAAACCATGTGATGTCTGGTGAATTAAATGACCAAAATGAGGTAGATAATTCAGCCGGGAACGAGGAAGCTGGGGGAAGTCTTTATGGACGGCGAGAGATGAACACCAACACGTATCTAAAAGTAATTGGAGTACTGCTGCTTGGTGCTGACTTGCTAATGCAGCGGCTTTTCTTCTTACTTCCCCTCGAGTTTTAATGCCTGTGTCTGTCAAATAAAGACATCAATGGGCTTACCTGGAGTCTCCGTCTCCACGGTGCCAACAGAACTGGTTTTATTGGTTTCTAAGCAGTTTGGGGGGAAATTATGAAATGCATCTTTTAAAGATGCTGGGTAATCGCTTTTGCTTCCTCTCTGTGGGAGAGGAAGAGACACTTGTTCCCAGAGAGTGGGGTGTGGTCTCTGCGGAGCGGCCAGAGAGAGGATGCGCCACACTCACCCCTGCACCTGACACTGACGCAGATGTGTTTTGCCACCCGAGCTTGCCTGTCTCCCAACCTCATCCTCCAGCCGCCCACGCTTCACCCTGCTCTGGGAGTATTTGTGCGGACAGAGAGACACTCTTGTCAGATTCAGTTGTGCACACTGCCGTGACTTCCTGTTTGCAACCCCAGTGGGCCTTGTGTTGGGGCGCTGGAGGGTGAGCACTGCTTGTCCTGAGCAAGACCGCACACACGAGAACATCTGCCATCATTCGAGGTCCAGTGGCCCAAGAGCTCTGACCCAGAGCAGTGGCATTTCCGTGACACACGGTCATGCTGGCGGTGGTGTGTTGGTGTAGCTTCAACAACCAGCTCTCTGAGGGCACACAGTCTAATGGATCTTTAACAACTGCCCCTCCATTGCGGAAAAGCCCGATGTATAGTTTTTACTGATTTTCATGGGATAAAAACTCCCGCCACGGCTGATTTCAAGCTACTAACTCAGACACGGGAAGGGACGCAGGCCGTTGGCTGCCCCAGGGAAGGTATGAGCACACCTCCAACAGCGACGGGAAGACGTCAGAGCCACCGGCAGAAGCTGTGTACTCATACGTCCTAGTCTCCATGGAAACCTGAAGCTAGACAAGGCCAGGCCGAGTTGTTTTCTAAATGAGGATCTATGGGTTAATCAGATGCCATTGTTCCAAAGAGACATGAAGACGCTTCTCCACCCTCAAATACTGGGGCACCTGTCAGTGCACGCCAACAGACTTCCTCCCCCACTCCTGCAAAGTTGGGGCCCACGGAGCTGGCAGGGAGCAGCGGCCTCACTCTGCACGGCAGAGTAGGGAACGGAGGAATGACTCCTCCTGGCGTTCACGAGTGGCTGGGAAATGCAATGGTGAGCAAAGATGGGTGGGCAGAAAGCACGGCCCCCTCCCCTGCTTCTTATGAAATCGAGATGGGGGGCTGCTGACGGACTGGCACGCATCACAGCACGCTACAGAATCTCCCTCCCCTCCCTCGCACGGGGCACTCTCTTGATCATTGGACAGCCCCTGGGTCTGTCAGTCCTTTGGGAAACCGCAGGTATCAACCACCAGGACGCAGGAACCCAGCGCCAGGAACGTCAAGGCCACGTCCCTGCCCTGCGGTTCTTCCCTGTCTGTCTCGCAGGCTGTGCCAGACAAGTGGAAACACGGCCTGCAGATTCGGGTCACAAACGGGGAGGGGGAAGCCCAGTAAGCCACCATCCTCCTGCTTTGACTGGGCTCCAGCGGCTGTGACACGAACACTGGAAGCAGACAGCCTCCTGGAGAGACCCCCAAGAAGCTAACCCGTGGACTGGCTGATCACCCGCCTCCTGAGCCTGTTTTCATGCTCAGACTGTCCACACAAACGTTAGCTCTTGGCTGGGGAGAGTGACAAAATGCATCCTGTCCCATCCTTGGCAGCGATGGGACAGCCACTGATTGTTAAACAGGTTCCCCTTGAGCGGAGCCCGAGAACCCCAGCTGGGAATGGTTTAGTTGGTGTCAGCTGGTGGCATCTGGATTGAAGCAGCCACTGCTGCCAGGTGGGAAGGAGTCGCCATACTAGACCTGGGGCCGGATGGCCACCACTGGCCTCTTTCTGCGTGACCCGAGTGGCCCAGGGAGATCACCCACACCCAGTGGTCAGCAAGCAGGTGGACACCACGCTTCCACCTGCCACCAGCTCTCTGCATCCTGGACAGTGATGACTGGACGGAGTGCCAGCCTCCGGGGAGCCCTGGTGAGTCCAGCATCTCCAAGGATCGTCTCAGACAGAGCGGCCCGAGCACAGCCCACGGCACCCATCGGTGATAAAGGGGGCGGTTGAGCATCCGCCCGTGGGGAGCCAGGAAGCAGGCCCGGGGCCCCTCCAATCCCGGGAACCGGGATGGCTGAGCTTGCTGGGAGGTTGGCCGTGAGCGCTGTCCACCCAGCAGCCCCCAGCCCGCCCTTCCTTCTCTCCAGCGGGGGTCTCATCCAGCAGCGGGGGTGTCGTCCTTTACTCAGACACGGGCAGAATGTTCTGGCTGTGAGAGTCGCCTGTGAGGCCCGAGGAGCGGATGGAGCGTCTGTGGAGGATCCTGTTCAGAATCTCCTTGCAGGTCTTGCGGTACTGGTGTCGCAGCAGGGAGTAGACGAAGGGGTCCGACGCGGCCTTGCTGTAGGCCAAGCACTTGGACAGCACCCCCCAGTGCGAGCCGATGGACGCCGTGGAGGACAGCTCCACCAGCCTGCAGAGAGAGGGGACTGTTACCGAGGGCACTGTTAGGTACGACCTTGGAGCCGGGGAGCAGCCCTCCAGTCTGTGCCTGGCCCTGGCCACTTCCTGGTCACTCCTCGGTTTCTCCAACACCCGCTCTGCAGGAGACGGGGACAGCAGCCGTCTACAGCCACGACGGGGCAGGGGGTACACAATCACCAGGTGCTTACCTCATTCTTTTTTTAAAAAATCTATTTATTTATTTGAAAGGCAGAGATACAAAGAGAGGGGGAGAAAGAGCGAGAGAGAGAGAGAAGAGAGAGAGGTCTTCCATCCCCTAGTTCACTCCCCAGATGGCCGCAATGGCCGGGGCTGGGCCAGGCTGAAGCCAGGAGCCAGGAGCTTCTTCTGGGTCTCCCACGTGGGTGCAGGGGCCCAAGCACTTGGGCCATCTTCCGTTGCCTTCCCAGGAGTTAGCAGGGAGCTGGATCGGAAGTGGAGCCCACACAGGATGCCACGGCGACAGCCTCTTTCTTCATTCTGGGCACTGCGCTGTTTCACACGTGTGATCTGGTTGACACCCGGGGGTCTGACTACTTCCATTTCACACCTGGAGCTGGATGAGCCAGGGGTCAAATCATTGGCCCGAGATCACTTGGCTGGTCAGCGGAAAGGCAGGGCTTGAAGCCCGCCCTGTCTGCCCCTGAAACCCAAGCCTAACTCGGAAATGGGCTAAGAACATGACACTGGCATCTGATTTGGCTCCAGCTCTGCTACCGCCTGGCCCTGTGATGCTGCCCAAACTTCTCACTCTGGGACCTGCTTGTCCCGTGGAGAACAAGGAGGTTGAATGAACTCGTCTTTGGAAGTGTCTGTCGGAGCCCTGCTTCCAGCCCGGCTCTGCATCCGAAGGAGGCTGCGCGGGAAGACGGAATCAGAATGTTTTTGCAAACTTTCTGCAAAGCTCAGAGTTTCTTGCCAGGAAGGCCTCTTCCCAGTGGGGGGATTCTTTTTTGTTTGATGACAGCGGCAGCTAGGGAGAGGCAAGAAAAGCCACAGCCCGCGTGTCACACGAGCCGAGCTCTTAGCCTCCTCCTACACTCAAAGAGCAACTGGCTGGTGTCAGCCTGGGAGGTTCACAGCGGCCTCCGTGGTGCTGGAGGGTTCCCTGGCTCAGCAGCTAAGTCGCTTCCTCTCCTCTCCCCACACGCACACTACCCTTGGCCGGATTCGGACAGGAGCAGAAAAGACCAGAGGACCAGGAAAAAGCTAGGAGGTCATGAATTCCCCCTCCCCCGACCCCCACTGCCAAGTGAGGAAACTGAGGCCCAGCCAGGGGCTGGGGCAGCAAGTCCGTGGCCCTGCTGGTCTAGCACCTGTGCCCTGTCCACCCGTGCTCATGGGTGTCTGCAGTCTGGAAGTCAGGCGTGGCTCTCAGCACCGTGGGCTGCCCAGGGGAGGCCCCAGTATGGAAGGAATCGGATCTGAGCTGTCGCTCTGTCTTGCCAACGTTAGCTGACCTTCCTGATGCCTTCCTTGGGCAGGTGGTGCGGGCAGGCTGCAGAGCGAGCGGAGGTCGCGGGCGGGGTGTGGTCCTCCATGGAAACGCCTCTGTCCTGGATAAGCCCCCCCCGAGGGGGGTCCATGCTGAAGCCCCTCTACTCCAGCTTCAGCACAGCTGCCGCCTTGTCCTCTGACCCCACGGGGGATGTGGCTGTTTCTTCCCACGTCCTCCGGCGGCTGCTTCGGGAAACGGAGCTGCCGGCATTGGGGAAATCGGTCCTTTTATGAAATCTATTTTGAGAAGTGATGAATCCACAGGGACAAAAGCCCGAGTTTCACACTCTTCTCTAATAATAACAATGAAACCACTCAGCCCCAACCCATTGCTGCCGTGAGATGCCAAAATGTCGGTCTTCGCTGGTTGTGACATCCAGCCGCAAGAAAGCAAAGCATTGTCAGAGCGTCAGCGAGACCAAACCCTGCGGGGTCCACGGACTTCACACAAGGAAGTGGCTCGGCTTCCGGGTGATGAAGAAGGCAAACCAATTGCATTTGCTTCTCAGAGATGTCGTGTGAGGCCTCCACGCCCTGGTGCAGCAACGGAATTCCCAGGGGAGGTCTGCTGTGGGCGCACAAGCTCTAATCTCCCAGTCAGCCCGCAGCCAAAGGATCAGGACTCCCTGTTCACAGAGGAGGGAGTGGAGGCTGGGCCGGGGGAGCCGCAAGCCAGGGTCTCCTCCACGGGAAACACCTCTCCGTGTGACCGCAGTCCACAGCCACGCTGGAGGCCATGCTGGCATCTGAGTGTCAGCAGTGCAGAGTGGAAGAAGCAAGCTCCGGACTCCCTTCCGGTTCCCAGAGCCTCTTTCCCGTGAGGCCAGGATGTGGCCTGTGGTCACTCGCCCCTGAAAAGCCAGTGCCCGGCACCTCTGTCAGGACCTCTGTCACTCCACGCTCAATGAGTGCGGGCTTGGACACAGCTCCCACGCAGTCACTCCCAGGGGGACCTGGGACGCCCCCTGCAGCTTGGGGGCTGGCTTCCTGCTTTCCCTGTGCCTGCCGCAGCTGGCTTTGCTCCACACCATTAGCAGATGGGTCAGAGCTAGGAGACAGCAAAGCCACTGCGGGCTCCTCTGCTCCGGCACCAGCCTGGCCCGCCAGCCGCCTGGCCCCGGAGTGCGCACCAGCACCTCTGCTTCCAAACCTTGAATTTAAAGCAATCAACTAGCGCCCAGGTCTCTCCCCATGCTCTCCTCCCTCTCCCCATCTCACTCCCCTTCCCCTCACCTCACTCTGTTCCTCCCTGTCTCTCTCTCTCTCTCTCTCTCTCTCTCTCTCTCTCTCACACACACACACACACACACACGGCCCACGGAACCTTCCTGGGGAAAGCAGCCCGATGTCTTCCCAGAACTTCATGGCAACTTGATATGTATATTTGAAGACTTATGAGTCATACGCTGCTGCTTCAAATTCCCACGAGATATGAGGCAGGAGGAGCCGTTTATAAATAGAATATTGACCCCCAGGAGCCACCTGCAAAGCAAAGCCCTCTCCCAGCCTTGCTTTGAGAAGCCACAATGAAAGCGTTGTCAGCTGCGCCGGTGTTGGCTCCGATGATTTAAGACAACCGTAATTATCTATACGCATATATTGCCGCAAGATAATGGCCTCATAAATGTTTCCAGACACGTGAATTCTAATTCGGATAATGTTTAATTCAGGCTTTTGGACGGGACTGGGTGTGGGATCTGCGGACCCTGGGGGATGCTCTGGGTGTTGCGGGCACTAAGCGGGGGTGACTGTGGGCTGTCAGTGCCGCTGGATCATGAAGATGGAGTTCTGTGATTGTGCCCCCGGCTCTGGTCTTCAGGGGCCCAGCACACGGCAGAGCTGCACCAGAGAGCGGGGGTGGCCCCCGTCACCTCTTGGCTGGAGAAACCAAGATGGCTGCCTTTCCCACAGGAGCCCGTGCTGTCTGGGTTCACTGACCAGATGCTGCGGCACGGGGACAGGGATCGAAGACGTATTCCTGGGACACCTCTGTGTCTCCAGTGCCACTGGAGACTCGGCGTGGCCAGAGGCTAAATGAGAGCCAAATGGCTGGACTCTGGCCTTCAGCTCATGGCCACGTCTGTGGGCAGCTCGTGTCACCTCTCCGAACCTTGGTGGGACCTGCAGAGGAGCTGTGCAAGGTGCAACAGGACACGCGGTGGAGCCCCAGATGCATGGCAGGTGTGCACTTAGGGTCAGGTGCGCATGGGGACTAAAACGTCTTCATGGTCACCAGGAAGCTTGAGGGTCGAATCAAAGACTGGAGCAGCTCCTTTAAACCCGCGACCCAAGACTGCCACTCCCCTCTCTGAGAAAGCTGCCAGGCAGCTGTGAAGTGATGGGGGCAAGGAGGAAGGACCCCCACCTGGCCTACAGGGTCATCTCAATCAGCTCCAAGGGGTGGCAGGCGTCACAGCAGAAGCCCCCTGTCTGCCTCAGCTTCCCCGTCCTGCCGACTCGCGGTGCCCCCGGCCACTGCATGAGGTCAGCTCAGACTCTCCACGTGGCCCCCACTACAAGGTCCAAGACGGCAGTGCGGCTGGCTGCCCGCACATGGACAGAGATCGCGGAGCTGGGGGACGATCAGTTTCTGCGCCCACAGCTCCATAACGGCTGCGAGTGACACCAGAACAGCTCGGTCTCCGTCACCTCTGATGTCACCTCTGTTTCTGTGGGCCTCATGGACCCTGCAGTCCTCTGGGGGAGCAAGCAGGAAGTGTGTCCTCGGCTCAGAGGAGCGCAGAGCCGTGCCTGGGAGCGGCCGCACTCACAGCGCCGCTGGAACCTGGCTGAGTCACTTCCTGGTCCTGTGCAAGGCTGGGACCTGAGCCTGTCACCCATCTGCACAGTGAGGACGCTGGATCTCTGTCTCCCCTCTCTTTGCAACTCTGACTTTCAAATACAGAAACGTACCCTAAAAATTGGGGATATCAGAGGGTGCACACCCCGCTGCAGGCCCCGAGTAGGGACTTAGAGAATTTTCAAGAGAAAGGGACACTCCTGAATTGGCTTAGTAGCAGATCTTGTGTCACCTCCACCCCAGAGCGGGTGAGGGGCAAGGCTTCTTGACTCCAGCCCCTGCCCCGTCTGGAGCTCCAAGTCCCCTCCTGACCTCAGGGAGGGAGATACCGACTCGGCCGCTTGGGAGGCATCTGGGGGAACTGTGGGAAGGAACTAGGGAAGGTGGGCGAGGAGCTGAGGGGACCCCGGTCACTGAGCAGCTGAAGGTCCCAGGGCTGGGAAACCTTTTTCTGCCAAGGGCCATTGGGTATTTATAACATCACCCAAGGGTCATACACAATTACCCACTTAAACATTAGCCTGGTGTAGACTGAATTTCAAATCACTCCTGCGGGTGCCTTGGCAGGGCCAGACCAAAGATTTCAAGGCCATGGGCAGGATGTTCGCCACTCACCCTGGAGGCAAAGGCATAGGCACCCTTCACGCCCTGGCCGGCACAGCATGCCGGGCCCAGATGGGCGGAGGAGCCGCCTCCAGGAGAAAACTTGATCTGTTCTCTCCAAGTTCAGCCTCCCGCTGCAGAATGATGCAACGGTAATTAGGTCTGTACGTTTTTCTCAGGCCAAGTCAGGGAAATCGGGCACGGCTCCCAATGTTTCCCATATCTGCACTTGCAGATGCTGCGTGGCCCCCGTGGCTGCGGCTGCCGTGGGAGACCTCGCCCACACTGTCCCACTCCCTGCACAGCGGGGCCCACGTCACGGGCTCTGTCTGTGAAAGGGTGCTCCAGCCAGGCTGGAGGTCTCATGTCCCCATCCGGGGTGTCCCCGGCCAGGCCTCCTCTGCAGGGACTGTCATGCTCGGCACAGGGAGGTCCTAGAGCAGTGTGTGCTGACACAACAGGAGGGCCAGGCTGCGTCTGTTAGGAGGGAGTGCAGGGCACCTGCGGGAGGCTGGGCCGGAGCGGCTCCTCCACACCCAGGACCGGGCATGCGGGCTGGTGGCCGTGGTGTCCCCACAGCCGTCTTGTGTGCTCGTGAGGCGTCCTGGGCAGGTTGCCGCCCACTTGCACAAGGATGAATAGCTTTGGGAATGCCTCTAAAACCTCAAGATGCATCGGATCCATTTGGAGGAAGTGCATTGAGCTGTCCATCTACCATGGGTTTTGTAATCAGAAGAGAGAAAACCCCAGAGTGGAGCCACAGCCCCAGGGTTCCAGCCCCCCTTCCCCAGGGACTGCCAGAAGAGACCGTCTGTGGCCCTTCTTTCTGTGGCTTCTCCCTTCCCCTGGAGGTGAGCTGTGGCCTGGGGGGGCAGTGATGACCACGGAGGGCATACAGGGCCAGGCCTGGCCGCACGCACCAGTGCTGCACAGCCTTGGGCCCTCAGAACTCTGCAGGGGCCCGAGAGGCCGGGACACTGGTCGGGGCCGCACAGCAGGAGGGGTGGGGCCGCGGCAGACCAGCCACGCTGCTGGTCAACTGCTCTCCCTGACACAGCACCAGAAGCCCTTCCCCCAGTCTCCTGCACAGGTTTTGTGTCCCATGGAAAACCCTGACCTGTGCTAGTGCTGGCTTCCTGGCTGGGCGCAGTGGGTCCAGACCAGTGACCCTCAGCTCCCCAGGGTACCTATGACGCCTTCAGGAGACATTCTTGGTCATCAAAACTGGGAGGTGGGGGGCACAGCGCTTCCGGCCTCTGGTGGGTGCTCCCGAGCCTCCTACATCATACAGGACCGCTCCTCACAGTGAACAAGCCCCCAACACTGACCTGTAGGCAGTGCCGGGCCGAGCAGGAATTCTGAAAGAGAGAACTGGTGGCTGTGCTCGGCCCTGGCCAGACCCATGGGAGCCCTGCAGGCAGCTCTGGGCCCCACGTTCAAAGTGAGATGCAGGCGGTGCTGGCTGGGGAAGGGAGGAGGAGGCTGGCTGGGGGAGGAAGCCCACAGGTGCTGGGAGCACAGGACACCCCCCTGCGCCAACCAGAGCAGGACTGGGGGCGGGAGCTCCCACAGTGTAAGGACCAACAGGGACAGCTGCCCAAGGCGGCTGCACTGCTCCGGGGACTGTGGTGTGCTGGGGGCTAGCTGCTCCCCTCCAGGCTGATGCTGCACTGTGCTCCCTCCCACCCCACCCATCTCTCTCTCCCTCTCCCTCCCTCCCTCTCTCTCTCTCTCACACACACACCTCTTTGCACAGATCTTACCTGCCAGACCCACCCCAAGTGCCCACAGCCACCTCCCAATAGAACGTCACAGTTCCCTTTTTGTTACCAACTCCCCGTTAGGCCTCTTAGGAGACAAAGCTGGGGGCTTTTATTTTCCCCGCAGCGTGATCCACTGGGTGACCCACGTTTTCAGGCTTTCTTGGTGCTCCGGAGCTAGAGCAAGCTGGCCTGGGAGAGGCTCAGCCTGAGGGCGGGGTGGGGTGGGGGGTGGGGGGAGGTCTGGGAGAGAACACGACAGCCTCCCAGCGCCTGACCTGGCAATGGCAGAGACCTCCTGCCCACCCACGCCCACGCCGATGGCCACAAGGGCCCACCCGCCCGGCACCGATGGCAGGAGGCTCAGGCTGCTGTCCTGGTTTTGGTTCTGAGGCTAATCCCGAAGAGCTCACAGCTGGGGAGGGGAAGGATGCACCGTCCTCTCGCTGAACCTGGAGAAGTCATGGCTGCCTGACCTCCCCGCCCTGCCTCCCCCTCGCTGTGGCCAAGACAGGCTGACAAGTGCCCTTCAGAGCCCCACAGAGCCCCCCGCCCCTGCCCTGCCCGCAGCCCACCTGGTGATGACGTAGGGGGCGAAGCACACCAGGAAGGTCCCTATGAAGGTGCTGATCTTCTTGGTGGCGCGCTGCCGCCTCCGCTTCTGTTCCTCCAGACAGCGTTCCCGCACACTGCGCGTGGGAGAGAGGAGAGGGAGTCACGGGTGGCCCGGCCAGGTCAGAACGGGGTGCTCTCCACAGCACAGGCAGGGGCCCCTGGTGTGGGCGCTTGGCTACAGACCCAGAAAGGCCCCAGCCCCCAGTCTTGGCTGTCTGACCTTGAGCAAGCTGGTGACATCACCAAGACTCAAGGTCATACCTGAACATAATACAGGCTGCATATTTTTTGTGTATATTTCATTATTTTATATGTGCCAGAATAAAAGGCCGCAAAAGGTTTGTTTTGAGAATTAAATGCACAAAGCACAGAAATGCATGACACACCCAGTGCGTGAAACACACAAACTGATTAGCCCAGTGCCTGAGTGCAAAGAAACACGAAGGCTCCGGACGCCTCAGCTCCTCCACCGAGCACCAGCCTGCACCAGCCCAGGCACGACTCTCCCAGCTCTGTCTCTGAGTCTTCTCTATCACGACTGACCAGGATCACAGTGAAGACTGCGAGGGTGCAGCGGCCCCGTGATTCACTCGGCTGCTAAGCGGAGGCAGGACTTGAACCCCTGCCCCTGCCACTCAAGCTGACCTGTGACATCTGGGGCCACCTGGACTCCGTGTGAGGGATGTGGCACATGGCTTGCTTTCCCCCACATCTTCCATCACCGAACCTCACCCCTGTCTTGAGCTACCGATTCCCCCAGAGATCAGGCTTGGAGAACGAAGCGGCTGCCAACTCCCCGTGGAATTGGGCACAGAGCTCTGAGGACGGAAGGGGGAGCCGTCCTCATCTCTGACCGCATCCTGGGCCTGCACTCCGCTCTGGGACTCTGCGGAGCTGACATCTCAGGGCCAGTTGACAGCAGGGTCTCTTGCAACCTTCTGCCTGCAGCAACAGGAAGTGCGTGGGCAGTGCCCCCCCCCCGGAGGTCCCAGCTGTGAGCCTTCCCCTGCTCCCTCTCATGGCACCCAACACGGGCATCACCCGAGGTGGGCATGCGTCGTTACCGCGCAGTTCAAAATAATCAGTGACTCCACAGACGGCCAGGGAGAAAGACTGCAGGGTTGTGCAGGAAGTGAGGATACGTTGGCAGAGCCAGGCCTGGGCTGCAGGGACCCGGTTCTGAAAATAGGCCAAGCTGTTCGAGGAAAGCGAGTAGCAGAGAGAGAACGCACGAGCCCAGCCACGTGCGCCGTCCACGCCGGGCACCCTCCCCCTCTCTCCAGGGGAAGCATCATTCTGACGCCTAATTGCAAGGTTTCTTCATCACGGAGGCTGTCACAGATGGGCGATTCCGATTCATTTGGATGAGATTCGGGCAGGGCCTTTCCCGTTGGTTTCTGCCTTTCCAGGAATTCAAAGAGTTGGAAATTGGAGTTGACCTTGGTACAAATAGGTTTCCTACTGGCTGAGAACTTACTGCTCATGACTAATGCCACTGATTAACTTCTAATGACTCATTGGAAAAGCAACCCACATTGCTTGAGTTTCCCATATGTTCCCCCTCATACACCCTGACGGGGTTCCCGTGCATTTGCTTAGTCCACACTCACACCTCTGTGAGCTGGGGTTGATGGCTAGGGCCCCACTTCTCCGATAATGACATTGAGGGCCAGGGGGATTAAACAACCTGCACAAGCTCACGTGGCCAACACGTGGAGGCAGGTGTGTGAGCAGTCGGTCCCAGCTTATCTGGGACTGGAAGAAGACCTGCTTCCCACCTCGAGAATCCCTCTCCATCACAGGCAAACTAGGATGGTTGGTCATGTGTGGTAGGTGATGGCAGGACCCAAGCTGTGTATGGCCCTGGATCCTGGGTGCCGCCTCCCAGCTAGTCAGCATCATCATGCAACACAATGGGGTGGGGGGCAGACCCCAAGCACCCAGCAAATCCGCAGAGCAGAGCCGGGGGCCTAAGGCCACAGCCACTGCTGGTGACTCCCCAGTTTTCGCTGTGTTCCTATAGAATGTTCTACCCAGGTCCTCTTTGCTCCTGCAATGCACGGGCTGTAGGTGGGGGGAAGGGCAAAACCCTCACCCAGAGTTCTGGGTGCAGAGAGTGGACCAACTTTACTGTCCTGCATTTTTTTTAGATTTATTTACTTGAAAGGTTAATAACCAGAGTCAGAGGCGGAGAGAAGGAGATCTTCCATCCATTGGTCCATTCTCTACATGGCTATAACAGCCAGGCCTGGGGCAGGCAGAAGCCAGGAGCCAGGGAGTGCATCCTGATCTCCCAGATGAAGGGCACGGGTCCATGTGCTTGGGTCACCTTCTACTTTCTCCCAGGCACATTGCCAGGAAGCTGGATCGGAAGCACAGAGTATCTGGAACTCAAACCAGGCACTCAAATTGGGGGATGCAGGTGCCCCAAGCAGCAGGCCTCCTCACTACACACAGCGCCACCCCAATGTCCTGCCAGTGAAACCAAAGCCCAATAGCCTGGGAACCTGCACAGTCCCAGGCAGAGCAGGTGACCCTGGGGCTTAGCATTGTTCTGCAGGGGCCCATTTGTTTCCATATTAAGTCTTCTCCAAGGACTTTGAGTGCAACTGAGGCGAGCTGTGCTAGAGGGTTGGGGTGTGAGGCAGGACACTCACCCCAGGGGATCGAGGCACCAGTGCTCAATGACTGTGGCCCTGGGTGAGTTACACAGCCTCTCTGTGTCAGCTTCCTCATCTCTTAGGTGAGCATGATAAGAATATTGCACTCCTGCCCTCGCGGGGTTGCACTGAGATGGCTGAGTTACCACATGAGAAGTACCAAGGACAGCTCCTGATGGTCCTTCCATTGCTATTGTTCTTTCAACAAATTTCTGTTGAACACCTCAGTGTTGGTGCTATCTTGAACTCCAAGACCACAGGGCTCCCCCCCTCTGCAAATGTTCCCTTCCTTCCCACAACACTTAGGAGAGAGCGACGGCTGTAACCAGGGACTGTAAGAGAGAGCCGGGAGTCAGGAGGCCTGAGACTGAGTCCTAACGCTTGGGCTGGCACAGCAGTCCTCTCTGGGCCTTCAGGGGTCAGGTGACAGCTGTTTCCTAACCATAAGTACCTGACCTGCTGCCGAGCACTGAGGGTGTCTGCAGGGTGGGCACTGTGCCTGGGGGTCAGCATCCACACGGGCCCAGTCACACAGCAGCTGGCACAGACTCTCGTGGTATGAGAGGTCCTCTCCAGCTCACAGATGAGGAAACGAGGCTCAGAGAGGGGAGGAACTTGCCTACCCAAGACCGGACTGCAGACAGGGCTCGAACCCATCCTTGACTCCCGGGGAAGCAGCACAGCCTCCCTCTCGTTACGTCACCTCCTAAGTGAGCATGAGAGAAGCTCACCCTCGCACAGAACAAGGCAGGGTGCTGGCTTCGCACTTGCTGTCAGCTCCCTGTAGCTCTGCAGAGCTGAGCTCCCTGGAACTGTGCAGCTCTGACAGCTGCTGCTTCATTCCTCTGCAGAAGGGGACATGGAGGGCGGCAAGATTCAGGACACGCCCATGGCGGTTCGGCGAGTCCAGGGCAGAACCAAGCCTCCTCCCAGGGATTCTGACTTGGGTTCTGGAATGTTCATCCCCTAGACTCCATGAACCTTTACAGGATCAGCAAGTGATGAGCACTTGCAGGCACTCCCGGGCCTGATGGTGGCACCTGGAGTCTTGGGACACAGAAGGCAAGAAGCTCATAGCTCCCCCAAGGCTACCTGGCCAGGGACGTCCAGCCAGGGTGTGAGCATGTGTGTCAGTGTGGAGGTGGGCTGCAGTGTCCCGAGTTTGTGTGAGATAAAAGGAGACAGGCTGGCTGGCACTGTGACAAAGAGATGCACTCCGGGAAGTTTCAGTAATAAGACAAAGGGGATGGGGAGTTTTGTGTGATCTCGGCTAAAACCTTGAAGCTGCAGGTGCCTCCCTGCCCCCTCGCTGGGCCCGGGTCCTGAGTGACCCCCAGATAACTGTGGTCGACCCAGAGCCCACCAGCTGCCCTGACCATCCAGGGAAGGATGCCAGGGAAGGACCCAGAGCCCACAGCATGAGCACTCCCAGATGGACGCAGGTTGGTGTTCTGGCTTCTACCTTAAGGGAGAGCTGACGGCTTGTGGGTTCAGGACACTGATGTGAGCAGTCTCGCCCTCAAATCCAGTGACAGGGGTTCCCGCCCTGGGCCCTGCACAGTGGGGGGCCCACATCTCTCCCCACAAAGCAGAGTTCCAAAGGGCTAAGGAGAGTTTCCACCCAGAGCCCGCCCTTTCGTTCTAGACCAAACCCTAGGGATTTGATACTCTTTGCCCAAATACTCTGATCCTGCTTCCAAAACTTGTACAGGCACTCTTGTGGTCCAGCCGCTTGAGGGTGAACCAGGCCTCCTGCGTGTTGGACTCAAGGCCTGAGGGACTCAAGCCCCGAGAACAGCCGTGCAAGGGGCATGGATGTGTAGCACACGTGTGCTGTGCCCCTGGAGCAGGGAGGCCCCTGTGGGGCTGGGTAGAGCCATGGGTGGGAGGTGAGGCAGGTAAGCCGTGCAGCTGTCCCCAGCATGCGTGAGCCCACCCTCCATGGAGCCTGGGCACTGTCAATCTGAACCCAGCTCTGCAGCATCTTATGAAGGCACATAGACCTGCCAAATAGGGAGATGGAAGATGCTTCACGTGATAGTTTGTGAACTTCTTTAGGAACTCCGCAGTCCACATGCAGGGTATGCGGCTCTATTTCTACTATTGTTCCATCTGCAAACATCAGGGAGGACCCAGGCGTGAATCCTGGCTTGAGCCACTTTCTACATCTGAAATCAGGCCAGTGGCTCCCTTGCTGGGGTCTCCCAATTTCCTCCCTGGTAAAGTCCGAGGCATGGCTGGGTTCTGTCTCCCTAAGCTACCACTCTGCCACCCTCCAGGATCGGCACTTAGCAGACGTGGTCCCCAGGGCATTGAGGGAGCAGCAGATCACTGGGGCCCAGTTAGGCTCAGGGTGCTGCCCTGTCAAGTCCCTGTCACCACCATTCTGCTTCTAAGAGATCATTAACCGCAGCTGATGAGTGCAGAGCTGTGCTGGACTGGGAAGAGCCGGTCACCCACGTCTGCGGCAGCCCCACCTGCTCGGCCATGCACGGTGGCACCACGGGGAGTCTGGAGCTGTGGTTTGGGAAAACAGCACCGTGCACCCTGAGCAGGTGTGTGATGAGTATTAGAAGCTGCCACCTGTTCCTAAGAAGCCACCACAGAACGGCAGGTGTGGGGAGCGCCTCTCAGAGCCCCAGATTTAACTAAGAAGAGTGGGTCCCCGATGCTTGTGTGGAGGGCGAGGCCAGGGGTGAGGCACCTCCCCACCCTGCAGAAGCCACACACCACCGGACACATCATGACGAACACCGCAGTGGGCCTCAGAAAACGGGAAACAAGTCCCTTTCGGTGAAGGCCAGATGGCACCTGCTGCACGGGCCATCCAGGGAAGGACGCCTGGTTTGTGCTGACCAGGGGCTGGCGTCCCCAGACCCTGCAGACTCAGAGCACCAAGCCCCAGGAGTTTCTCATTTGTACAGAGGAAGAGTATGGAGCCAAGACAGAAGCCCCTGTGGAATGGCTGCCCCTTCCCGTGTCCATCCCCCCACCCCCTCACTCAGTGGAGGCCATTCCTCAGGTGTGGGCAGGCTGGGGGCTGGGTTGCCACAGCTGCTCACTATTCTGTAATCTCAGGGAGCCAGGGTGGGGGGCAGGGGAGTGGCCTGTGGGACTGACCAATCCCTGCCCATAAACCCCACATCTGGCCAATGAGACCCACTCTTCCCTCGAGGGTCCTGGGGTGCTGGGAGCAGGGGCTGTTCAGAACAGCCCACGGCCCGAGAAGGCAGGGAGTGGAGGCTGCTTCTGCAGCCTGGGTCTCTGTGCACAGTGTCTGGCCTGGGGCTTGTGAGAGACTTGGGAGAGCAGAGCTGGCTGCACCTGACAAAGGCTGGAAAGGGTCCCCACTCTCCTTCTGAGCTTTGGAAGAAGATCCGGGATGGGGTTCGTACCAATCTGAGTAAGAACCGATTTGTTTCTGGGCTCTATCCGCCCTCTGCTGTAGACTCACGGTGAGAGAAAGCTTCTCTCTAGGAAACTTTAAGTCCCCGGAGTTCAATGACATCTTCTAAAGCAGTCCCGGCCCGAGCCTTGGGGATGCAGCTTCTGAAACAAGGTTTCCCCAGCCCTGGGTGACAGAAAGGGGGCTGCTCTACAGTGGTGGCTACAGAAGGTTTCCTTAGGTACTGAACCACGCACAGACTCATGCAATTGGAGCAGATGCGTGAGCAATTGTGGCAAGAAGCTTGCTCCAGTGCAGAACCAGGAATGGCTGTTCAGAGGGCGACGGTGAACAGGTGCATCCATGCCCTTCTATGTGCAGCCACGGTGAAGTTCAAGGGCTGCTTGCTGCCGCTCACAAGCAGGAAGGGCTCAGCCAGGAGCCCTGGCTCAGACGGACACCTCTGGCCTGTCTCCCTCAGCCCTGGAGGACATGCACATCTTGGGAACAGTGCCCCCCCCCCAGGCTCCCCTGGGCTCCCAGGGTTCTGCTCTCACAGGAGGGTCCTTGGATCTAGGGTCCCTGCTCTTTGCCTACCTCACTTTCTGTACCATCTGGTGCCCAAAGCCCCCTTATTCAGGGTCTCGGGCAGCAGAGGAGGGGGCTGCCTTTCCCTGGAGGTAAGAACAGATCCCACAGAGGTACTGCAAGCTCGGGACAGCCTGGGTAGGAATCCCCTCCTCCCCCTGAGAGGCTCCGAGAATGACCGGGGTTCCAAGCAGGTGTGTGCTCTACTGTCTCCCCTGCCTTCTTGACGAACGGCAGCCAGTGTGGCAGGGAGGGGGGAGAGCAGGTTGAGTCCCTGGAGCCTGGGGGCGTTCCTCCCATGGGGGCTTTTGGACCCCTCATTGAAGGACACTGGACAATGCTCTCTGGGGAGGGCAACAGGTGTCTGATCCCCTCCAGCCTACTACAGGGGAAGGCGCATCCAAGTTCCACGCCACGGAGACTCCCAGGCACACTAGGGTGGGGAGACAGAGGCATCGGGGCCACCAGAGAGGGAAGATTCTCAGCAGCAGCACCGTCTGGTCCCAGAACTCGGAAGGGGCTCCCCAAGCATCTAGCCCGGCTCTCGGGCCCTGCTTCAAACCCTCTGCCTTCCCACCAGCCAGTTAACGTGAAATCTGCCAGCGCACAAAAGGAGTCTCCGAAGCCCAGCAAAGTTCCGACTCCGATTTCCATCCACACTTTTCACAGCCCCCCTTGGCCGATGTCCTGAGCACCTCTCTAAGCCGCAAGCACTGGCCGCTCTGCTCACCCTCGTCTCCGAGGAGGAAACCATTGGCCCAGGCCCTACGCCGGGAGCGTGGGGGCCTCCCACTCCCGCTGCGCCCCTGGTTCCCGGCTAGGGCGAGCCCGAGGGGCACTCACCTGGGGTGGATGTCCACGAGCAGGACCAGCGTCTGCATGGTGATCACGTCGATGCGCCTGCAGTGGAAGCGGGCCACCTTGAGCACCTTGAGGTACGTGAAGCAGAGTACGACGAAGGAGAGCAGGAAGCTGAGCGCGTGGAAGGCGCCGGTGAAGACGGCGAAGCGCAGGCGCTCCTCGGGCCGCCGGCTGCACAGCGTGCAGGACGCGTACAGCTGGTGGAAGCCTAGCCAGGACAGGGCGAGGGCGGCGGCCGGGAAGGTGAGCGCGTGCAGCCACGTGTAGGCCACCATGAGCGCGGCGTCTCGGAGGCGCATCTTGGCGCGGTAGCTCAGCGGGAAGACCACGGCCACCCAGCGGTCGATGCTGAGCGCCGCCATGCTGAGCATGGAGTTGGCGGCCAGGAAGGTGTCGAGGAAGGCGGCCAGGCGGCACAGGCGGTCGCCGGCCGGCTGCCGCTGCGCCACGACGCCGGCCAGCGTGAGCGGCATGTTGACCACGGTGCACAGCAAGTTGCCGCACGTGAGGTTCAGGGTGAAGAGCGCCGGCGCCTGGCGGCGGATGTCGGCGCTGTGCAGGAGGCACAGCAGCACCAGCGCGTTGGACAGCAGCGAGACTCCCATCGTGCCCACCAGCAGCCCCGCCAGACCTGCGTCCCAAGAGTTCATGGTGCGCGCCCGCCGCCGGCGCTCAGGGTCCGCAACCCGGCGCCGCCATGGCGCAGCCTGCTGCCGGCTCAGCCTCTCCGCGGCGCTGCCGCCGCCCGGCGACCCCCGGCCCCAGCCGCCATAGCTCCCCGGGGAGCGTGCAGCCACGCCGGATCCCCACGCCACCTCTCGGGGCAGGCGTCGGAGCTTGCAGCAAACCCGAAGCACCGCACCAGCCCGGGGCAGCCACCCCGGACCCCGCGCTGCTTCCTGGGCAGACACCTGGGCGCGCAGCCACCCCGGACTCCGCGCCACCACCGGGGCAGGCACCTGGGCGCGCAGCTGATTCCTGGATCCGCGCGCCACCTCTTGCCCCGGTGCGCCGCTGAACCCGGAGCCTTTGGCGCCCTTGGATCCTGGATGGCGGGCGCCCGCCGCCCCGCTCTGCCTCTGCTGGCTCCAGCCCTCACCCCATCGCTCCAAGCGCTGTCTGTGCTCCGCGCACCCTCCTGCTTTGGCTTTCTCTCTGCCTCCCTCTCCGCTCTCTCTAGCTCTCTCTCCCTTTCTACTCTCGCCTCCACCTCTCTCTCCCCCTCCCTCCCTCTCTGCCTTTCTCTAGCTCTCTCTGCTATTCTCTCCAATCTGTCTCTCCCACCCCCAATTTCCTCCTCCCTTCTGGTTCTTCCCCCTCCTCCCCTTCTCTCTCCCTCCCTCCCTCCCTCCCTTTCTCTCTCTCTCTCTCTCTCTCTCTCCCTCTCTCTCTCTCTCATCTGGCTGCTTCTATCACAGAAATCCCCGCTGATGTGAGCGTACACACACACACACACACACACACACACACTTACAGAAGCACCAGCCCTGAAGGCTGCTGTGCAGGGTGATTGGCTCCCTCTGGCTCCCCCTCCCCCACCCTCTGATTCTCCCCGTGTGTGGCAAAGAGGAGCCCAGTGGGGGAAGTCTTTGGGAGATAAGAGGAGTGTGCCTGGACACCTTGGTACCCCAGTGCCTCTTGCCCCAGCCTGAACATGAACAAAGCCAGACCCTGGCCTTCAGGTCCTAACGCCCTGTCCCTCCCGGGAGCATCCCAAGGCTGATGGCCCTCCCTCTCTGGGCTAAGCTGGGGGAGCTCAGGCGGGGTCCTTTGGCTGAGCTTTGTGTGGCCCAGGGCTGGGCCCAGATATCCTCAGGGGTTCCCCAGGCTGTCTCCTGGGCAGCCGCTGCACTGCCCATGCCCTTTTCCCAACAACACCTTCGGGCTTGCTGGAGGGATCCTGGAGCTGGCCATGGCATCCCTGGGTGTCCCCTCTGCTGGGAGAGGCCTCCCTCTGATGCTTCCGGCAGGGTATGCCTGCCTGTCCACTGCCAGCCTCGGCTTCAGGGTGGGAGGCTGGGGTGGCTCAGCATCCCTGCAGGCAGGAGTGCAGGTGCGGTGACCCTCTGTCCTTGAGCCAGAGGGTCAAGTGCAGGGATGAAGTGTAGGGGTGGAAGGCTCAGCCCTCAGAGCCTCTGCAGCCCCCTTCACCTCTGGGAGGTGCCTCCTCCTCTGCTGACAGCCTGCGCCCTGTTAGCAAGCTCAGGCCCCGTCCTGAGAACCGGCAGCCCTGTGCAAGAACCCCACAGCCTGGCCAGCAGTGACCAGCATGAGCAGACCTCAGTGCACCGGATAAAATCAGCCAGCACGAGGACCTTTTCCCCAGGGAAACTGGGATGTCCCGTCTCGGAGTGCCAAGCCTATTGCTGGTGCTCGTAAAATGAGGCACCAGGAGCAGGAAAGAGAAAAGATATTCTCTCTGCATTTCCACAAATGGCGCTTAAGAGCCGCTACTTGAGTGAAGGGTACCTGTGCACAGCGGGCTGCTGGGGCCGGCCGATGCCAGCTCGTGAGCGCCTGCGGTGGACATCTCCCTCCACTGCTGCGGTGACAGCGTGTGGGTAGTGACTACGCGCTAAAATCAGAGCAAGCTGCAAATCAGGGCTCCCCCACCTTGAGCTTCTGAGCAAATGTTTACCGACATGCCACTCACTGATGTCCTGAGATCCTGGGCGAGTCACGTCCCTGGCCCTCCTGAGATGGGGTTGTAGAGAAGTTTCCAGAGGACCTTTCAGAGCTGTGAACAGTGCCTAGGAGGATGTTTGCTCTCTGAGCAGGAAGCAGGACCGGAGGCCGCCCGTCTCCTTGCCCTGTGGCCTCCGCACGCAGCCTACAGATTTCAGGGTTGGCTGTGTACCTTCTTTATACACCCCATTTATGACCTGAGAATGAGGGGTCCCCTGTGTGTCTCCCCATTCCCAAACACTGCACTCCCACAGATAGGCCCTGGACGTACCTATTTGGAGTAAATAAGTCAGCCATGTTTTGGGGACCCCACTGGATCCGAGGTGATCACACATTAGTGTGAAACACCTGTAAACCTGGGGTGTTGGGCCAACGCCTCATCAGAGTGCCTGGGTCTGCACTTGCTGTGGGCCCCTTGGGTGACTCCACTGAGGGTGGGCCATGGCCACGCGGCGGGGGCAGGCTCTGGGAGCAGTGTCAGGCAGGCAACTGGGTGCCTGTGCGTGGGTAGGAAGCACAGAATGTGAAGAGTTAACTGATAGTCTCACAGCACGCTGGAGTGTACAAAACAAGTCCAAGTGTTATCACTCACACTTCATTCAGGCCTTGCAACAATGACAGGAAGAAGAGCTGTCACTGCCCACCTCACAGAGAAGGGAACACAGAGGCTCGGGGACGCTGAGGGACAGGAGCTGCCCAGGAGTCGGCAGGGCGAGGAGCCAGCACCTGCAGCCCTGTGGCTTGGTCCCCTCTGCATCTCCAGAGGTCCTCAGCCACACTCTTAGAGGGTCCCTTTGCCTATAGCTTAAACGTATCTGAACTTTGCAACACCTAAGTGCTGTTGGAAGCTGGGTAACTAGGTCCAGGAGAGTAAACCAGTGAACACACACACGTGCACACACATACACATGGATGCACACACGTGAACACACATATGTGCACACACATACAAACACATCATTTTGAAAACGATTTCTTCTCTAAATTCCTAAAGGTGACATTGAAAGGTTAAAAATGCCAGAAAGACACAAGGAACACTTTAAGTTGGTTTTCTAAAGAACAAAAGCTCGTTTTCTCCTGGTTTTGGACATCATTTCCTGCTCCCAGGTGGGCTGTGGGAGGACAGATCTCCATAGTGACCAGGTCCCCAGCCCCCTTGGCACCTGCCAGGCTGGACTTCACTGAGCACAGGCCCCACAGGCCCCACGCACACTCACAGAGAAGAGGCCTTGACACAAGTCCCCCCCTGCCCCTCCAGGAGAGGACTCGGGAATCCAGCCCACCTGACCAGGAGAGCCCCTTCTTGGCGGCCGCCCTGTGGCCAGGTCTGAACATCGTGCTCCCTCGAGCCCGAGAGACAGCAGTGATGGAACGTCTGTGACAGCGTGAACATGAGTCACTAAGCGCTGTCGTGGGCCTCCGGGGAGGGCTCTGCGACAGGACCACATGGAGGCTGCCGGCAGCGCCCGTCACTGCCGCAGCCCTGGAGCACAGATACCATGGCTGCGTTGTGCCAGGGAGAGAGCTGAGGCCCAGAGAGTTCCCAGATTTGTTTAAGGCCACTCAGGGGAGGCAGCCTCAGCAAGGGTAGAGTGAAATAGTGATGGCGGCAGAGTCAGAATTCGCATCCACATCTGTTGGACATGAAAACACACGTCCTTTCCTCGGGGCTTCCTCTGCCCTGTGTGTGTAATGGAACCCCGCCACAGCATGCACCCTCTCATGGCAGGTGGCAGAGGACTGGGGTGGTCCTGTGTGTGGCTGTCGTTAGAAAGAGAAGGAATATTGATCGAAGCTGGACAGAAACCGAGATGTCACAGGTGCCCCGGTAGAGCCCCTGTGGCCACGCCACAGCCCCAGAGAGCGCATCTGTCTGGGGGACCTGAGGGCTCCGGACTTGTAGACACACAGGGGCCCGAGGGGCTGGAGCTGGAGCTGGTGCTCCGTGGGGAGGGAGGTGCCTGGGCAAGTGCCTGGTGAGCCCTGAGGCTGTGGAGCAGAAGGGACCTGCAGAAATGCCGGGAGGAAGGTGGAGGCAGATCGCGGACGCCAGGCCAAGCGTAGACAGTCAGGCCCATTCCAACGATGGCTTCTGGTACCCGGAGCATCCATCTCGTCTTCCCGAGACACATCCCTGCCAGACTTCCCACCTGGGCCCACCAGCGGCTTTCCATTGTCAAAGCACTTACACAGCTGCTGCTTCCTGTGACCTTGCAGAACACTGGGCGCTCCAGAAGCAACACACGAACACTCTCATTGTGCCCGCAAGGACACTGAGAACCAGGAGCCGATGAGTGGCAGACCACGGCCTGGAACCCAGGACCCCACCTGCCTGTCCAGTGTTCCCTCTCCTGCGTCAGACAGACTGCTGGTCTGTCCCCAGGCGGGCGCAGCCCTCAGCTGGGTAGTCAAGATCACTGATCCAATGAGATCCTCAGGCCTCTGGCTCACTTGGCCCTTAGAGAGGAGAACTTGCTTGCTGGATAGGGCTTTTGCCTGTCCTGAGCCCCTGGGGCTGTCCCAAGCATGGAAGGTAATGAGCCAGCTGTGGGGAGGAGGAAGCCCGCCACCTGCCAGTCTCTGCTGGCAGTCTCCTCGGGGAAACTGAGGCCCCACTGCCTGATGAAACCAGGGTCCTGCCCAGAGTAGACAAATGGCCACATTCATCCAAGGCCTGCTGTGACCAGGCACTGCCTATCGCGTTTCAGTCTGCATGGCAGCCGCGTTCACAAGATACTGCAGTTAGGCCCGTCATACAGGGCAGGAGACTGAGTGAGTGCAGTCAGGCTGCGTGCCTGAGGGCCCGAGCTGAGAGGGCAGGTGACGTGGGCCCAGGTCTGTGTGTGCAGTTACTCCGATTCTGCTCTGAGGTACAGACGGGTGCCTCTAGTCTCTCCTGACTGCACAAGTACCCATCAGCCCTTGTCCTTCCTCCCCTTCCCAAACCAGATTCTTGGGCTGAATGCCAGCTGCATTGTTTATGAATTCGGTGTCTGCCTGCGAGCTCTCTGTGAGCCGGGGCTTCTGCGGAGTATACTGAGTTCGTGCCCCCCCCCATTCGTAGAGTGGAGATTTCCACCCACGGACGGATTGGATGTCAAAGCTTGCAGCTGGGTGGCTTTCTTAAGGTCTCTACAGCCTGCCTGTCACAGATGGGAGATGGCAGTGCTGATCCTCTCCCAGGCCAGGGTTCTGTCTGCTGCACTACAGCCATCCCACAGTCGGATAAAGACAAAGATGCCTTTGGGTAGAGTCTACCTGGTCCAGGCGTGGAGCTGTTCCTCTCAACTAAACCCCCCCCCCTCACACACACACACACACACACACACACACACAGTCTGTAGGTTTGCATTTTGCCTTGAAAATCCATTAAAACTGCCTGTGCCGGCAGTAGCTTCTTTATTTGCAATCCATGCTGGCTCCAGGAGCAGAGAAGTGTGTGGCGGATCCTCCTTAGACCGCGAGGCACTGAACCGGTCCATGCTCAGCAGCTTCTCCAGGTTTGGACTGACGCCTAAAGATATCTAGCCTTGTTCATTTCCTGTCTCTGAGCTGGAGTGGGGCAATGGAGCCTGAATTGTAGCCTCAGGAT